AAAAAAAATTTTAATAAAAAAAAAAAAAAGAAAAAAAAAGAAAAAAAAGAAAAAAAAAAGGCAAACAATGCGCATAGTAAATTAGTAATTGTATCTTGTATGCAAGCAGTACTTTAAAAGTAACTATACAAACTTTTTTTCTTGAGACTTCATTTCGCAAAGTAATTTTTACTACGCTATAATATAATAAGTTATAATTTACCTCAGTCTTCACCGTCAAACTTTCTTTCGATCACAGTTAAGGCTAAAAAAGGTTTTGCCACGATGAGACAGAGTTTTATACAGCGTCTGAATCTATGTGCCACGGATCAAACAACTTTTGGATTACATGTAATTTTTGTTCTGGTCTATCTGATGCTTCGTCTACGGAAGGTGGGCCGAAAAAAGGTGTGAAAAGGATGGGAGACCTGCTTTAGCTTCCAGGGGCGCCTTGAGTCTTGAGGGGCTCACAATGGCTTTTGTGTTCTTCGTTATGTAGGCCCTCATGTAAAATATTACACTGATATTTGACTTAAAGCTTCTTTATTGCTGAAAAATCACACGATAATTAATATTCTTTTAAATCATTAAAACAATTATTAGACCTATTAATATTTTGTAGTCTTTTTTCGGGGCTGGGGATGTTTTTAAGGCGCCGTCTCTGACTAAATGGGTAAGTAATGAACATAAATATTCATTACATGACTCATGATTATAGGCTGTATAGCTGGAATATAGTAGTGTTGGGTTTGTGGGTTATGTATGAACAATTTAATACTACGTGTGTTGTTATTCATATTTATTTTGTATTATTTAAATAGCCAACTGTAAGCTAAAGAAAGTGAAGTTTCTTAAAAAAAATTTTTTAATGTCTCCTGTAAAAACTTGATGTAGGCCCTTAGTCGTTTAGATTAAATTCCTTTTAACAGCGACGATAAATATAATTAATGTTGATTCATTTAGGATTTTTATGAGTCCATGGGTGGGCCTACTATTATATTTACTCTTACAATATATTTCTGCCACACTGTATTCTTATTAATTGGCTATGCATATTGCCCAGTGACTTAGCAAATAAATTCGACCAATCAGGAGTTAAGGGGAATACTGTGTGGTAACAAAAGTCACGTGACAGGTATAAATATTGAGTTTTGCAACAAGGTTTGTAGGTCACATTGTCACGTGACCAAAATTATTACACGCGTTCATGGAGGTTGTGTAACTGTAAACTAAACGTTTAATATAATATATAAGGGTGTACGGGCGTTATTCAAAGAGGTAAATTATTCGATGTGAGGCTCCTCGTGGTGATTTCTGTCTTGTATAGTATTTTTTTTTATTACTGTTCAGTTAATGTGTAGTGTATTTTTTTTAAATTTTGCCTTTGAATATTAAATTAGCGTCTACTAAGACTACTACTACTAAACTTCTTTTTTGGGTTTGGGTCTTTTAAAATTTAAAAATTTTAACATGCTGACAATTGTTGACTTATTAATTTAATTTCATAATTTGTCATTTATTTAGTGACTAGTCTCACTAGTCTAGTCAATTTAGTTAATTTAGTTTTAGTTTAGCTAGGCCCTAAGCCCTAATTATTAATATTTTTTTAAATATTGTAATTGTATTAATTTCAACTTAATATTTTTAAAACTTATTAATTTAATAAAAAGCTTTTACTTTAATAATTATTAATAAGCCCTTGCCTTACGGTAGCCCGGTTACCGTATCATGCCGTAGTATGGCGTATGCCGTATTTAAATTTAATTAATTATTTTTTTAAAAAGTACCAAATGAAAGTAAAGACTTGACTTAACTTAAGTTAGGCCTCCAGGCCTAGGCCTCTCCCTACAATGAAATTAACCAAATTCAATTTAATTTTAAGGAAAGTGTTTTTTAAATTTTAATTAATGTTAGTAATATAAGCACCAGCACAAGACTGTTAACTGTTTAAAGTTAAAATTAAACCAATTTAATCAATTATTCTGAATTATGATTATGTCATGTAAATTTTAACCATTCATTATCATTAAATGAATCCATTATTTATGATTAAATTAAGACTCAATTTAAAAAGAAGATAGTAGAGGAACATCTTAACATTTTAGTATTAGGGCAGAGCCCTACTTCTCTTCTATTTATTTGAATTTGATTTAAATGAAAGCAAGATAGACTAACAAGGGACCATTTATAAATTAAATGACACCGGGCGAATTTGTTCGATTCCCCCCACCCCCAAAACCCCTAACATAATAATTGTCCCACAATAACACAATAAGACACCTAAAAATATTATCTTTTCTTGTTTAGCATATGTTAACAGAGCCATCAGCGCATTATGTTTAGTGTTCTTTTTAAATATATGCAATGATTTTTAAATCTAATATTTAATGTATATTTATCATTATCCATGTACACTTTTTAATTTGTTACATTTGCATTTTGATTTTGTTCTAGGTTTTTGATAATAACCTGCAGAATACCAGGTGTATTTATAAGAAAGGAAGAAAAAAGTTTTGAACATGTCAAATGACATAAGGGTAAGTAAAAATATTGTTTTATACATTTTATATTTGTATAGACACAAATTAGAAAAGAGAATTATTGCACATATACAATTAGATTTTTTAACAATGGAGTCAGTAATTCAGACAACTCACATGAAGATGTGGGAGATTTTCTGTATTACTATTTGTTATTGCTGGCATAATTTTAAAAAAAAATATTGTTCTAAAATTTACTGCATTTCAATATGATGTATCTGGTGACAAGAGTTACTTTTCATTCATTTTCTAATAGTCCCTTGGAAAGTCTGGTAAGAAATTTACCAACTGGGCCACAACATATTCTTGCACTCCAGAGCTTTATTTTGAGCCAGAAACAGAGGATGAGATTAGAAAGGTCAGTGTGTCATATGTAGTTTTTTTTAAAAAATCAAAGAACAGGGCTGAATGTGTGTTTGGGTGTTATTAATATTTACTAAAAACATGTAATATGGCAAGTGGAAAGCATTAGTTAGAAGATCTACATTTTCTGTTTTCCTGTCAAGCTTTTCTTTTATAAAATGGTATGTAACTGCTGACATGGTAGGAAGTAGACCAAAGCATTCCATTATAACAACGAATGGGGTCACACATGGTTGAATGGGGTCACACATGGTCGGTTAGTGACAGAGTCATGCTTTGGAAATGACAACTGGGAAAACTGTTAAAGTTATTTTTAGTCAGATCTTATCACAAGCTTTGGAATTTCCGTCCTCCAATTGGGAAAGGATTCTCAAATATTCATTTGGGGTACAAGTTGATTCATCTGGTTTTTTAAAATAATGTTTTAATCATGTTAAACTGTTTAAGTTATTTTTAGTCAGATCTTATCACAAGCTATGAAATTTCCATTCTAAAATTGGGAAACTATTTCTCAAATATTCATTTGGGGTACAAGATGATTTATCTGCTTTTTTAAAATAATGTTTTAATCATTTAATAGATAATTTATTGGAATTAGAATCCCTGACTTTCATCATCTACAACAAACATAATCAGTTTGATAATCAGTAAGCAAAAAAATGTGTTTGCTGCTCATTTAATTGAATAGTGAGAGGGCCTAATGAAAATTAGTTATATGTATTTAATATATATTGTTGGTCTTTTTATTTTGAATATCTGATTTTCAACAAATGAATTATTTTTCATTTAGAGCTCTTGTAGTTTTAAGTGCTAAAATTCACTTTGAAAATAACTTTTTATCTTGTTTACGATAAGTAAGGGCATGCTTCGGATTATAATAAGCTCTTTTTTTGTATTGCTAATGCTAGTGTAAAATAAATATTAAGAATAAATCATGTGATGACATTTCGTTTCTCTTTAACTTCTAGTTGATAGTCTAGACCATGGGTGCAGGCACTCTGTTTTGGGGTGGGAGGCAGTGTCAGGAGGTGCAGAAGGACAAATGAAGTTTATTTTAATTTTTTAAATGGGGGTTGCATGTGATGTTTTAAAATCCAGAATAGGGTACTGGAAATGTTTTTAAATCGAAAGTGTGGGCAAAGTAAAAAAGGATAGGAATGCCTAGTCAAAACCAATAGATCTTGAACTGGCTTATTTCCCCAGAGCCCCAGGATTCTATAAGCTATTTTCAGCAAAAGCATAACTGTTAGATAAAAAGGAAAAATATAATGCAAAATATGGAGTAATCTACAGTATACACATTACAGCTTTAATATTGAATTCTTAAATTATGTTCCTTTTTGAATTAGTTGAAGGTTTTTTTTAAAGAAAAATAAAATCACATTTGTTAAGTTTGAGTAGTGTTACATCCTCTAACTACATCATAAGTGATCTCCTTTAACTCAGTGCTAAATATAATTTATATCTCTTCTGAGGTTACCATCTTACTATTAACTTGAGATAGGAAGCGAAGCATATACATCTATATATTTATATGTATATTGTTTGAGTTGGGAATTATATTTATGGTTTGAAGTTTTTGACACAGCTAAGTGAAAGTAAGCTTTCAATCTATAAAAATAATTTGGTGGATACTTGATTTGCCAACTTTTTAGCAATGTGCAGTGAAATTTCAATAACTTACGTTTAATAAAGAGTTTTTTGAAAAAAATTGCAGCCATGCGTAGAAAATATTTACTTTATATCTAAATTAATACAATACAATATCTAAATTAATTTGTTACTTTTTTGTTAACATTTACCAAAAAATGTACCATCTATGTTGGCTTAAAAGATGTTTACATAATTCAAATACTTTTGAATTTTTTTTTTTCATTTAATAAAATGTTCAGTTTTACTACATTAATTATTAATGTATCCTACATAAATCTACAATTATTTAATTTAATTGTTTATTTCAGTCTATTTAAGTGAAATTTTGCAAAATTTACTTTGTCTAATTGTTAGTTTTATTTTCAGGTTCAGGTCATAAAATGAACTTTAAAATTGTGAACAATAATCATCATTATTACATATTAACATATTTTTTAAATAAAAGTCACTTGTAGGTGTTCATTTCTTAGCCAATGGTTTATCTGCATTACAGATTTTAGCCTATGCTCAAGAAAAAGACAAGAAGGTCAAGGTTGTTGGTTTTGGCCACTCACCTTCTGATATAGCCTGTACAACTGATTTTATGATAAGTCTCTGCAGGTACAACAATGTCATAAAGGTGAGGGATTATTTTTGTAAATTTTTCAGTTAAACTATTTGTACATATTATATAAACTGTTTTTTTTTTATATGTCTGGTTAAATAGTATACAAAGTAGATTAAAAAAAATAGTGCCACCAAAGTCCCTAATTGTTACAACCAATGTTGACACACATGGTTGATAGGGACAAAACTGTTAACTGAAAGATTGACCAAATGATTAGAAAACATTAACATTACCCTGAGTACATGCTGTATGATTTGGCAAATATAGTAAAGTTATAATTTTTTGCTTTATTTTCCACTTAAGACCATTCAGCTGTTCAACGATGGCTTGGCCCAGTACTGCAAAATGTTAATTTGTCCAATTTGTCCAATTTTTAAAAATAATTTGCCTAGTTAGGTGTGCCAGTCCATAAGATTAATCCTCTTTCTTTCATTCTTCCATAAATTAATGCAGTAGCAAGTGTTGTGGCTATTTTCCCATGTGCTAGGATCTGTAACTGGGTGTCTTGATTTTTGGTGTGATTGTGACAATTGATACTCCCCTGGGCCTCTTGTCAATAGTATTTTTTTAAAAATAGTTTAAAATTGGCATAGATATTAATCTTTGTTTAGTTAAAAGTTTACTTTAAAATTTGTGTTAATAAAGTGTTAATAAAATAAATACTATTTTAATTCATTGACATAAAATCATTTTACATTGAATTTATTTTCCACTTGAGAATATTGTGTCTTTAAACTAATTAAGCTTTTTCTCAAACCCACCCTTTTCTTCTTAACCCAATTCCACTGTTGAATATTTTTAGATAAAGTCGATTCAACATTGGTGATTGCTTTCATCTGCTTTTTCAGGTTGACAAAGAAAAATTGCAGGTGACAGTTCAAGGTGGCTGCCTTCTTAAAGAACTGAATGATCATGTCCTACCAGCCAATGACATGGCACTCTCTGTGTAAGTCTCATTTCATTATAGTGTTGCTTCTATTGTACTTAAACTTAGAAAAAATATGTGATAATTCTGAGATTCTAATAGAATTGTTGTGCTTACCACACCATGGTTTTGAGATTCAAATTTCAATATTGCAGATGAAAGCATCTGTGTCAAACTTTCCTCAAAACTTCATTTTTTTTTTGATAGCCAAAAGATAACTGGTAAAAGGCAACAGGTGTTTTTGCATAGACAAGGCATTTTTTTAATCATCCACCAAGTTGGGTGCAGCCTTCCTACTTCATGTGTATTGATTTTCTTTTACTCAGAGTACATCAATAAAGTCCAACCACACAATATCCAGATACCTATTGGAACATTCTTTCTACCAAGTCCAGATAAGGACAAGGCCATGAAGAGTTTTAACTTTATAGTTTGGTTAATGACATCATAATATCAATAAAACATTTTATTTCATGAAGATAGGAAGAAAAAAATAACACATTAGAACCAAACTTGGACACAAAGGATTATTAGCAAGGAATTAAAATGGATTTATAGAATGGAGTCTTGATATTGATCGATTTTATTTATACATACATGAAACTAAATCTGCATCAGAGGTTGTTTATAGCAATCTGTGTGGAGTCACTTGTTATTCTTGTTCCAACATATTTTTTTAAGTCCCTAAGACTAAATCTTGGTTTTCAACTCTTGGTCCTTGTTTCAAAATAATTTATATATTCACTTGACTGTGACATGCTAATAGCACAATGAATAAAACTGATGCTATAACTTGAACCTTCACAGGCAAGGGGCTGTATGTGATTTGACTGCTGCTGGAGTTATCAGCACAGGGACTCATGGGACAGGAGCACAGTTCGGCATAATTTCATCTTACGTAAGTTCTTTGTCAGCTTTACATATAACAATGGAGTCCTGTATTCTTTGATAGAAAAATCAAGGAACTGAATTGCTACCAATTATTCATTTTTGTGAAGTTCACTCTATACATCCGTATAAATGATTTTAACATGTTAATATAATTGGATATAATATATATATTTCTATATTTTTATTTATATATCTATATATATATAATTCGCAAGCAAAGGTCAAACAAGACGGGTCAAACACCAAGCAGGCTATTTATAGATACGCCAGAGCGTGGTTCAATAATGAGTTCAATAGAGCGCAAAATATAATTCCCGATAACTACGCTAAATGATCTATATATATTTTTAATAACGCAATTGCGTTTGGTGCAATTGCGTTTGGTGCATAATATTTTCTTTTCGGAAATGAAATTGTCTCAATTTAAGTATTGTGTAGAAAATTTTCAGTTAAAAGTAGTTGGGACATGAGAGTATTAATATAGTTCATGGGTGTGAAATAAAAAGTGTGCAGTGACGTATCATGGGGGAAGGGGTGTAGCAAATATTGGGATTCTTAAATGTGCGTTACTTGAGTTCAAGTTTTGTCAAGTAACTTTAGTGTATGATTGGAAGTTCACCCACTGCTGCCCCAAAAGTTTGGCGGGCTATATCACAGTAGTATTCTTAAACCCACTCCATTTGGACAACTGTGTCTTTCACGAAGTCTTCACTCATCTATGAGCAATTCTGCGGCGCATGCTAAGCCGCGGGCGGACTAGTATATTTATATTATTTAAGGGCATGAAGACTTAGCAAGACCAGTTTACAAAATTAGTGTGTCTTTAATAAGCTTCATCTTGATATCAATAAATTGTTTATTTCATGGTTCATGTGTAATAATTTATTAGACAATTTTACAATAACTTATTATTAATAAATTTACATACAATCCATTGAAAGTACAAAGTCATGACCGGAAAGTTTTAATTAGTGAATATTATATATATATATTTGAATATATTAAACTGAAGTATAGAGTAGAGTTTTTTTTTTTTTTTAGGGGGGGGGGGTGTTGGTGATCATTAGCTGGCATGTAAAAGAGTCAATTAACTATGTTTTAATTTTAAAATTTGTTAATAAATAAATGTTTGTTAATTAAAAAATTAGTGAATATTATATATATATATTTGAATATATTAAACTGAAGTATAGAGTAGAGTTTTTTTTTTTTTTTAGGGGGGGGGTGTTGGTGATCATTAGCTGGCATGTAAAAGAGTCACTTAACTATGTTTTAATTCTAAAATTTGTTAATAAATACATGTTTGTTAATTAAAAAAATTAAATTAATAAAATGCAAAAAGTGTATTATATTGTAAGAAAAATATACTATGTTCCTCATTTTGATTGTTCATTTCTAATAATAGATTAATTTATATGATTTTAAATTTTTTTTTACAGGTTGTTAATCTTGAGCTAATGAAAGCTTCAGGGGAAGTGATTACTATAAACGAAGAGGTCAACTCAGAATTGCTACCAGCTGCTGCTCTCAGTCTGGGCAGCTTGGGTGTAATTATCTCTGTCACATTGCAATGTGAGAAAGCCTTTAGGTTGCATTGTAAACAAGTCACAAACACCTTGCAAAATGTAAGTAAGTTGCACCAACTTGGACACGTTCGTCATTTGATATGTGCACTGTAATTCTAATTATTTTCATTTGTCCTGTTCCCCAAAGAAGGCTCTAAGCCGAAACATTCAAATCTTATTATTCTGTCTTTTGATTCAAGCTTCAACATACCACCTTGTTCTACTATTTCATTTACACAGCTTTCCATCAATTATTAATGTAATTCTAACAAAAAGTAGTTAACTGTAGTTGAGCTTTGCATTCCTTCCCACATGTCCCGAGTTCAACTGCCCAACACATTTTTAAGTTTTAATTACATAAATGAATAAAAAAAATCTTAATGCATTTAAGGTTTAAACTTTTTCATAATTTCTTTCCAGTAGAAGATTTTTTTAAATCACTTCTCTATTTTGTTTTTCTTCCCACCAGGTAATAGAAAACCTTGATGTCTATGTAACCAGCTCTGACCATTTCAAATTCTTCTGGTATCCACATACAGAATCTGTTGTTTGCTTCAACACTAATCGAACAAAAGAGGTGGTAATAATTCAATTTCTAATTATTTTTTAATGTTATGCTTCCTAATTAACTGTCATTTAAAAAAAATAACTTAATGTCAAAATCTAGCATATTAACATGAATAAATTGCCAGCTTGAAAAGTAATGAATACATTATAAAACTTGTTAATTTCTCTCTGCAAGGAACCCAAAGTAAAGTCCAGCTGGATCTGGGATATGGGAGTTGGCTACTATTTACTACAAATATTGTTGTGGTTTAGGTAAACAACATTTTTATTTCTTCATTCACTATATATGCTACAATAGTCTCAAGGTCTTGACTTGTCTATATATTAAGCAAATTGTTGAAATGAAGCAACAAGTCTATAAATCCATTATGTTGTTTATAATTATAAGTAATGTAAAGAGATAAGTTTTTTAAAGGATAATTCAGATATTAGAAATATAACAATTTTGCTCACAGTCCTGTGCAAATAAACTCTCTACCATTCAATTTGTCCTGATGTATTTATTCTTTCATCTTCAGCACTTTTTTCCCAAGTTTAGTCCCTAGTATCAACAGACTGTACTTCAAGCTCTTCTGTTCTAGCTCTGTGGAAAGAATAGACAGAAGTGATAAGATCTTTAACTTCAACTGTTTATTCAAGCAATATGTCATGGAGTGGTCTATACCCAGGTATCAATCCTTTAACATAGCTATGTTTTATGTTAATAGGTTTTGATGTGAGGCTGGGATTAAAGACAGAAAGCTTTTAAAAAAAGAATTTACTACTGATACATTATTGTGGAGAAATATAACCTAAGCAAGGCTGTAGTCAAAATAGGTTTTAAATATGTCTGTAGTCTTCCATTAATGGATGTGAGCCATGGACTGGGTGCCATTTCCTCCATGCCACTAAAATGTAAACCATACTCATCTTTAAGGGCGATCATTTATGGTCCGAGGGTGGGAAGGTGGAGAAGTTAAGGTTATAAATTACATCCACACCTTCCCTACCAGAACAGTGTGGCCATAGAATTCCCAAGAGTTTCTGTAAGTAAGAGAATAGTGGACAGACATTCAGGTCATATAGGAGACAAAGGTCGAGAAGTGGCAGTGAACAAGCTAGCTTCTCTACTTAGAATGCTCTTAATGTATTGAGTGTATATTCTTTATGGAAACAAATAAAAATCAATTTTTTTCCATTTGAGGTAACAGTGTTCTTTTTAAATGAACTTTACAAGTAATTAGATCAGAATAGATCCTTGCATGGGTGTCTAACTCTACTAAAAATACTAATTCTACACAACTGAAAGTGAACTTACTAATTATTAAAGACTTATGAAACTGCCGTTAAATTTGTGTATCTTCTAGTTTTTAAATGACAATTAAAAAATCCTGAGGGTGCTCATGGTACCTTGTGACTAAATTTTTTCAATTAAGTTACTCAAATTCATGTCTTGTTTCTAAAGTAATTTTATGCTTTTTTTTCTCTCTTCAGGAACAAAGTTGGAGTTGTTCTTTGGGAGTTGAAGGAGTGGATTGAGAAAAATAGATTTCCTGCACATTTTCCTGTGGAAGTTCGTTTCGTCAAGGGAGACAATATTTATCTGAGCCCTTGCTATGATCAAGATTCTTGCTATATAAACATTATTATGTACAGGTAAGTTCCTAGCTTTTATGTTTGGTGTGTACGTTGTTTCAGACAATAAATTTAGTATAGAAAAATTTACCAGCAAATATGATCAGTTTCTAAATCATAAGAATATATTTATTGAAGTGGATATTCGGACCCGGGTCCGCGAAGTGAGAGGTTGGGATTAAAATTTAAAATAAAATATTATTGTCAGGTTATAAGACTAACTTTGGTATCAAATGAAATATAATTGAATGGACTATATGTTTGTAAACTTACTTCTTCAGTTAAACTAAAATAAACTACCACAAATGACATCCGAATAGCTTGAGTCTAATGGGACCTGGATCCAAATAGCAGCGATGCGTTTCCGGTTCCATTTTGACTAAATTCTATTCAGATATCATTTGTGGTAGCTTATTTTAGTTAAACTGAAGAAGTAAGTTTACAAACATATAGTCCATTCAATTATCTTTCATTTGATACCAAATTTTGTCTTACAAACCCTACAATAATTTTAAAATATTTTTAAAATAAACCCAAACTCTCAACGGGTCAGAATAGCCACATCCTGTATTTATCTTCTAGTTGACTAGTGTCTGTTTCTTGTGTAAGTTTTTATTAGTTATGTAATGTTTAATCAATGAATGTATTTTACATGATTCATTTTGAATATTCCAAACCAGGCCATTTAATACATTGGTGTCACATGAAACCTATTGGAATGAGTATCAAAGTATAGTTGCCAAACATGGGGGAAGGCCACACTGGGCTAAGGTCAGTAAGAAATTGCTTTGAAATTGCACTTCAGGACAAAAAATATAATTTAATAATTTTTGAAAAGTGAAAAGATCTACTCTTTCATAATAAATTTTTTATTGGATTTAAATATGAAAAGGCACCTTGCAGCTCACATAGCTTCATAACGAGGGGCAGAGCGACCTTTCTGGTGATTGGGCATCACCAGATAAATTTATTTTTGTCTAACAGGATGGCCACAAATTTATTTTTGGCTAACAGGATGGCCACTACCCACTACAAAGAATATAAATGAATTTTATTTAGTGAGTAACAGTAACCCAAGCTTTTGAACAAAAGACAAGAAAGTTTTTGGTATTTAAATTATTCAGGATAGTATTTAAATACTCATAATATCACTCTCGTTGTACTAAGCATTGTTGCAGGCAAATAGCTGAGCTCAAAATGCAAATCCAAATGGGGAAGTATGATTCAATGAGAAAAATTACAACAGTTTTTGTTATAAAAGTATTATTTTTTAATTTTTCAGCAAACAGGTTTTCTTACAAAATATTTTCAAACACAAGGACTTGATTTGACTTAGAAGACAATGGAGAGATTGAATAACATTTCACCACAATGAGACATATTCAATAAAGCCGCACAAAATTTTATCGAATGGGAAAATACCTTGTTAGATAAAGAACAAGAGTTTTCTAGAAAACAAAAAGTGCTTCATAGAGCAACTGCAGATGATGAAACCATGTTTGATCCAATTTAAAGATTTCATACTGATGTTAATGACCAGGTTTTTTTAAAACAGTTTTGAATTACTAAAGATTTACAGGAACTGGCAAGATAGCTGCAAGTATCACATGTTTCGATCTGAGTTTTTCAATGAATGTGATAAGGGTGACATTTCACATCCAGCTTTCAAATTTCTCAGCAACAAAGTTGTGCAACTGCCCAGGGTCAACGAAAATTAGTAAAGAAATTCTAGATTATGATTTTAAAAATTATCAAAATTATTATTAATAATATTTAAGAAAAAATTTATTTCAACATTTATTTATTCCTGAGACCAATACATGGTCAATAAGTCATGGGTACCCTCATCAATTCAACTCAATTGCCTTGTCAGATTCAATCCACCAATCCACCTTTGTTCAAATTTCTTATCAACTTACTTTAAGTCCACATGAAAAGATAAATCTAGATAAAATTTGAGTTTAAAAAAAAAAGGAATGTTTCTTTCCTTTTTTTTAAAATAATGACATTCCGTGTTTTTTTTTTATAACTTAACAAATATACAATCCAAAGACTTTATTTTTAACAAACTTTTTAAAATCCCCAAAAATATGACAGTCATTAATTTTTGTGTCATCAAGTTTTGGAACACATTTTTGTACTATTTGTATTTCTGTTTTTAGGACCATAATTTCACAGGCACAGAATTTATCAAGCTATATCCAAAGTGGAATGAGTTTTGTGCTATCCGTGAGAAGATGGACCCTAATGGTATGTTTCTCAATGCAAATCTGGAGAGAGTATTCAACAGTCGGCCTTCACCTTCAAGGAATCATGTGTGATCTCAGTAATTTATCAAATTAACTTGTCAACTTCAACCTGTGTTATCTTGGTGTCCATGTCTGTTTGTACACTTACATATTGTGGTGCTGTCTTTAGGATACGATAAATGGAAAATTGATTTAATTGCGCTTAACATATTTTATTGTTTGCTTTTTAAATAAAAACACAGTCAGTGAACTTAAATTAGACATTTTAAGCCTGGACAATTTTTACGTATTACATTAACATTTGTGTCCCTGACCACTTCTTTAAATAATTTTTGAGATGCATTGGTTGGGATGAATCCTCCAAAACATTTTTTTAGTTAGGCCAATTTATTTTACTATTAATAATTTATCAAGTTATGTTAAATTTATTTGTGTATTTTGTTGCTAGCTGTCTTGATAAGTATATTTAGTTGGTGTTTGATGACAAGTGATGATTTCCTACACTGCACAGTAGCTATTTATAAAAAAATGCCTTTGTTAAAAGCCGAAATTATACGACTGTTAAAAATTAAAACATCTTCAACTGAATTGGTGATCATTTTCAATACCGGTACTCAATGAAAACCTTGTTGTTTTGTTGAAAAGTTTGAGAAACACTAATTAAAATAAGGAATTACAAAAGTATACTCCTCAGATATATTTGTTTTATTTTATTCATTAAAATCACAAAAAGAAATTCCTGAACTTTATATTTGCATATAATTAAAGTAGAGATTGAATATCTTACATCAAAATGAGATAGCAACATAGCAGCAACTTTAAATAATTGAAAAATTGTTTGTATTTTGTTTACTGGTATCTGATTCTGAAATTATTTTTTTTTAGTTATCAGTTGAAAGCAAAATATATTAAAACCATAATCATTTATAGACTTCTTTATTATCTACTTATTTGTGACAATTCACATTTGCTTTTAGTCAACAATTCAATTATTTAACAGTTTTGACCATGAATTTTTAATAGAAAACAATGTGACTTGTTTGAATTTTTTATAATGCAAAAAAGATATTTAAAGAGTCTGCCAAAAGTCCATTACTAAGTTAAGTTCAAGTTGGTAAAAAATCTTTGTTGACTGCATGAATCATGTGTCATTTTTCTAGGCAAAGTAAACTGCATCACCCACAATTTCCATTGGGCAGTTATATGAAAGAAATTATTAAATAAATTCTATTAACAACATAAGCAGGTTGTAAAACAATTTAATTTATTCTTCAGTATTTCCTATTTTTTAAGTTTAAAAAATAGTGGCAGTTTCTTTAACTTTTGCTCGATTATAATGATTTCTTCTTTGTTTTTATCAGTTTTATCTTTTTAACTTTAAATATATTTCTGCTTAGTAATTGGTTGAGGGATTCATCTTTATTTCTCTGTTTGGTTAAATTTATAAAAGAACGTGTGTTTTTATTTTTAAAGAAAATGTTTATTTATTTGCGATATGACAATGTTCTATAACTGCCATCCATTGTTAAGTTATGCATTTTGCTGATTTAATCTAAGTGCTTTTGGATCCTTGATTATTTAAGGATACAAAATCTTGCTGTTTTATTTTAATTCCAACGATGAACTCAAAACTGTATATAATAATATTCGGAAGAGTGTTCATTTTCTGCAAAGAAATTAATTGGCTTCACTTTTAAAATTCTTGTCACAGCATTATTTTGTGAATCCAAAAATTGGTCAATCTGAATGTTTGTTGGTAGTTGGAATAATAGTTTGATATTCAGTTTTTTAAAAATGTACATTCATTATTTAAAGGGTTATGGAGTTTATTTTTAATTTTTAAAAGAAATTATTTTTATGCAGTGGTTCTCAATGGGTGTCCCGCTGCAAGGTAGTGAACGACAATATTAGTTGGTGTGCAGCAAAACTTCTGAAACCTTATGATATTGCTGGTAAAAATAATTAAAATATTGCACTCAATTTTTCTTTTTATATATCAAGAAAATAATGTACTTATTTAACAGGGGATGCATTGGTTTACAATATCATATATAACACATGTGAAACGCAAAAACAACCTCAAAATATCTCAGCACATGGATAAAACAGAATTTCAACGGCTAGCTTATAAATAACTGACCGGTGAAGGCAAGCTGTGCATGTGTTGGACAGATGCTCTCGCATCATTGCCAGCTTGTATGTTAGTTTGCTGCAGGAACCTTCTACGTGTGATTAGTGTGCCATGAAAAAATATTGTTGAGAACCACTGTTTAATGGACTGTTGTTTCCTGTTGCTTACTAGTCTTGGTCCAATAATTATGTTCCCAGTATCTACTTTTGTTGAGCTTTTGCTGATTTTAATCATTAAAAATGTTTGAATGTTAAATTTACACTTACACAAATATTAATGTCAAACTAAATTCCTTTATTTGAAAAGAGATTATGGGCATACCCCTACCATTAATCACTTCAAAATTTATAGAGCAATATCTTTGAATAATTAATGTGCAATTGATTTGATAAAAACAGAATTATGGATTTAAAATTTTTTTAAAATGTACATTTTATTTACTTAACTATATAAGCAATGTGGATAAATTAATTTATATTAATTCTCTTCAGATAAAATTGTCTTTTTCATATGCAAAAATGAAGTCAGTGGTCCCCCTTCTATCGTGGGAGTAATGTTCGAGAATAGGTGAAAATCTGTGACGTGGCAACCTTACATTTTTATTTATATATATTTTAAGGTCTTATAAACCCTCCCAACACTCTAATTAACACTTCCTTTGCTCTTAAACACTTTCTACACTCTTAAACCTATATAATTTTAACAAAATAAAATTCTATATTGGTATTAATATATTTTGATGTACCCGGTATACAAGTAAAAAAATGTGCGCTACAGTGAGACCTCAATATGGCGGGGAAAATTCTATTCAATCAAATTAACATGTTTAAAATCGTATGATAAGGTTCTTACTGAAATATTTTAATTGCTGACAAAGAAGGGCTGATAAGGTTCTCATTTAAATCATCACAATAATATAAAAAATGATGTCGCTGACCTTGGCCAAATTGTTCATTTTCCATAATGCTTGTTGACTGATCAAAAAATAATTATCATTATTTTACATATGAATTCCTTTTACACATATAATGTTGCAAATTCTTATTCCAGGAATGCATCTTTTGTGCACTCAAAATCTGACATATTTTTTATCGTGTTTTAGACATTTCATTGAAATGTGATCAAGCAATCTAAAGAGATGTAATTGAGAAATTTATTCATTTTTTTCTCCTAATCTTACATATCTTTTGCAAAATACTTGGAACTCGACATTAATTATTAGAATGCTTGTGATCTTGCCCCATAAAACAATTTCTGCTCATAATAAATGGAATTTAGGGCATGCCAGTAGTTGGGTGGTCATGGAAAAAGTGATGTCTACAAATCAAATTATCATTGCAGCACAAAGTATCTGAGAAGGCAGTTTTTGATTTAGTTTTAAATTGCAAAGGATAGAAGTTTTTTAAAAGTTAATATTTTTTACCTAAGTCATAGTTTCCACATTTTAAATTTGAATCCTAACCACTGCTAATTTTTATAACAGTATATCCAAGTATGATCTCATTTATTAATGTTATTAAAATTATTTTATCATGAGAAGTTGTTAGCACATAATGACATGATGTAAAAGATTATTTAATGAAGTGTAATCAGTTAACCTTGTGAACATTTTTTAAAGAGCCAAGCCATCACACTGTTTACAAGATTGCTCTACGGTATTTCCCTCTAAATTTTATATATTTATATTTTTTGATTTAACTGCATTGAATCAAAAGCTACTAGTAGTGATTTTGCATTAAAGTTTTAAATTTAGTTTATACAACTTGGGTAAAGAGTTTTTACAGGTTTATACAATCATTAATGTTCATTAAAAAAAAGTTATAGCTCCGATCCTGAAATTCACTTACTCACGATCTTCTATGAATGTGGCTATCTTAAAATGTGGAAAGCGTCCTTCAAAAATAATGAAATGATGGCTCTGACCGGTTGCCCTTCAAATATTTTTCTTAGCAGCATTTGAATATTTTACTGGCTTTTTTTTTTTTTTTTTTTTTTAAAAACTTTTCCACTTTTTTTAATTTTTTTTTTTTTAAAATAAATTTAAAAAAATAATTTTTTTTAATTTAAAAATTTTTTTTTTAAATTTTGTTTCTTTTGATTTTTTTTTTTTTTTTTTTTTTTTTTTTTGATGTAAAAACCTTTCCACCTTTTCTAAATTTTATTTTTCTGAAATAAATGTAGAAAAATAATTTTTGGTAAATTAAAAATTTCTGCTTTAAAAGTTATTGAAAATAGAGGTGGGTTAAAATGTAATATTTCATTGAAACACTAATTCAGTTCATAATAACTTTACGATTTTTTAAATTCAGCTTTCAGGATTTTTCAATTAAGCTTTTTTTTTTTTTTATACATGGTGAAATAAAGGTTCAAATAATTGATTAATTATACCAAATATTTCAATATTTAAGGGACAGTGAACATAACATATCTCTGCACAATGTTTCTATAAAGTTATTAAATTATTGTTGGTTTTAGATTGCATAAAAATAAATATCTTAAATTAAGTAATTTAAATTTCATTTGTTATTTTCCTATTTTTAAAACTGTTTTCATCAGAACCAATAATTGATTTTTTGTAACTAAGCCATCTGTAAATTATGAATTAAATCAAACAAATTTATGTTTGAAAACATTCCATATTGAAATTGCTCCATTAAAAAAAAACAAGGTCCATTAATTTTAAAATTTTTATTTACTTTTGTCATTTTCTTAAAATGGTAAATAAATATTACATTCTTATTTTCATATTAACATGTAACTTACTGGCTAAACACTCATATTATCAACTAAAGATAGAAAATGGTAAGGCAGTCTTGGGTTAACTATAAAAATATTTGTTTTACTGTCAATTTTGACTAAAAGAAAGAATATGCAATAAATGGAAAGTGAGTTTATAAATAAGAGAACATAGTTAATCCATTTAAAAGCCAATTGGTGTTTGGAATCATTTCAGATTTTTTGGTAGATCAAAGGAATACACAGTTAAGGATGTTAAAAATATTGACTAATATTGCTAAACATTATGTGACAGTGTCTAAAAATGTTGTGCAGCATCTCAAGCACTGATCATATACTTCATTGAAAGCATTCTTGTTGCCACTCTGTAAATAAGTACACATGTAATGTAATTAATATAACAATAATTTATTAGGTGAGTAATAGTTGTAAAAACCGAACTGACGTAAAGTTCAACGGAACTAACACGAACATCAAGTGAGTAGGGAGATTTTCATGGTATTTATATAGCTTTATGTCACTAAATATGAAGTAAGCCCTGTGACTAGTAGCATGGCCAGGAAACATTTCCTTAAAACCATTTTGATGAAAATTATTAAGTATTATATTTTTAATAGCATTTGGTTAGTTTGGTAATGGGATATGATGAAGGTGGCTAGGAACATGAAATATTGGAGATATAAAGTAGACATGGTAAATAATTGAAATAAATCATTTGTCACTAGAACTTTCCGTTGATAACATTCTCTGATAATATAATATGTAAATATATGTAATATATATTTAAAACAGAGGTAGATAAATAAGCCGAACTGTTTACCCTCAAACTCTTAAAATCGTACTATATCATTCAATACATTATCTTAATAGTAAAAAATAAACATTCATTATATATAATTATAATATATACACCTCAAAATCGTACATTGTACGCCAAAATTGTAAGTGTAAACAGGTCTGAATCAGTCATTTACTAAAAACAAAGTTAACAAGAGACTTAAACTAAATTATACTATTACTTACATACGTAAAGTAAGGGTCTTCTATAATAAGCTCATTCTGTGGATCATATTCCCCTAAAAGGGAAATCTTGGCCAAGCTATTGGCTGGGGCTAGATCTTTAATGTCTCTGTAAGGGTAGATAATCATGTTCTGGAGTTAGGGACAAGACAGCAAAGTGTTGGAGTGAAGTTTTCAACAACAAAAAAAAACCCATTAATTAATTGTAAATCTTACAGTTATCTGATCATTGAATAGCTGAAACACCTTTATTCAATGCTTGCTGCAACTGAAGCAAAGTTTTAAAAAATACATGACTCACGATATGTTCGCATGGTCCATTCCAAATATGAACTCAAAATTAGTGAAATCTTCTTCTGTGATCTGAAAATATAAGTTTTAACAATACAGAATTAATTAAGAACTGGCTATACTTTTATTACAGTTGTTGGAGACATTTTTAACATTGACATAAAACTACATATTTTATATTATGCAAAGTAACATCTATTTCAACTACCCCAATATCATGTTGTCCTCGAACTAATCTGAGTCCCACAACCTCTCACACACATGAACAATTTTACTTAATCTTTAGATGGTCACTGATAAGTATTTGTGCCTAATAGATGTTTAAAATGTACACAAAAGATTGATTAGAAACATTTCATCTGAGTTTTCACGTAAGGTGACATTTATTAATAAGGTCAAGCATGCCATAAGCATTGTTTGACCATCTCAATGAAAAGCACCCTGTCTTAGACCTAAAACCTCAAAGAAACTTGTCAGACAGCTTTTTCTATGGATATTACAGCTTTTTCTATGGATATTAACCACGACTAAAGTGCTTTCTGAAGAGGGATATACAAAGTCATCTTGTAGAGAAACTTGGTACAATGGACATGTTTTAAAACATGATGACATAGTAGAATACGCCATGCTGACAAAGTTAAGAAAAAAACATATCTTTTTTACAGAAACAATTTCTAACAAGAACTAAGATTAAACAAAATTGACTAACAATGACAAAAAGATATTTTACCAGTCTCCCAAGATGTTTGTAGTTGTTGATGCCATTCTTCTTGAGCACTTTCATAGTCCTTTCATCGGGTGGGCAGCCAATGTGCCAACTTCCTGTACCAGCACTGTCAATGATCCACTGGAATTAATAAAAAGATGTTAAAATAAAAATTACTTAAATCTTCATTACTAACATAATTAAACTCATCTTTCTTTGAGTTCTGATAAATGTTTTTAAATCAGGACTGTAAATGTTAAAATATGTATGTCAAATAAGTATCTATGGGTTGCTATTGCTAATAGTTGCTTTCTTAGTTAGTGGGTTTGGTTGACTAAAAAAAATGTAGTGGTTCAGTGAAAAAATGAAAGGTAGTGTGATCTTTTCTTGTTCTGAATTGATTTTCTAAAAAGCCTAGAGACTTTTAAAAACAGCAGAAACCAAAGCTAGCAGATAAACATAAAAAAGTTAACTTTTAATCGTTTTATTTCTTTAATAAATTTGATTTGCATTTTTTGATGTAGCAAACAGTTTGGTCACTATGGTTGATGTCTAGTGGTTAAAGTCCTGTCACGCCTCTCTAGACTTTCCCATGGACCTTCTCTGAATATGTATGCTCTAGTGTCATCCTGCTCTGTCTGGTGACACCATGTTCTGACAGTAACCTGATTTCAGAAATCTTTTCTGGTGTCATGGCGTCTCTTAGGAAACTGACTTTAACAAAATTTCAAATTAGCATTTATTTAGTGTCATCCCCCTATGAAACTACTGGTACCAAACACATTATTTAATAATGTAATGATTAACATGCTATTTCATGATGATATTATTGATAGTCATGAGAAATATTTTTCACTACCATCCTTAAAAATAAAAATGTTTGAACCCAATATTTACACCTTATCTGAAATCTCTCTTTGTTTCACAAGATGTTGGAAAATTCCTTCAGCCATTGTGGATCTACAAATGTTACCTATAAAATGAGTTTACACAAAATTAACACAAATGACAAATGATGTTGATAAAATGAATGAATAAGTTAAATCTGTTCCCTGTATCACAAGTTATGTGCTTTTATTTATATTTATCAAATTTATGTATTAATATTACTTCATTAATTAAATAAGAGCCAAATCATTTGGCAAATGAAATGATGAAAATGCCAAACTCTAACAACATATTTATTTTATTAACTCATAGACACTGTAGACTGTAGGCCCATAAAGTATAAAGTAAAACTTAATGACTAATGCAATGTTTTTTGAAAAAATAACCATTCATTACTTATCAGTTATTAATTATTACTAAGCCAAGGCAGGCCTAATTTAATTTTATATAATAATAATAATAAATATATTTTTTTTACTCTTAAATAAAATGAATGTTGGTTAATCAAAATCGAATGAGCTATCATTATTTTAGGTAAGCCTTATTTTATATTATTTTAATATTAGGTAAATAATATTAATAATCACACTCTCAGTAAGTGTAACGGTAGTCTACCAGACTACACTGACAGCCAGTAGTCACTGACTCAGTGAGTAGTCTCAGTTTCAATCAGCATTGCCGCCATCAGTGAGTGAGCAGCTGTTGTCACCTGGAAATTATTACCTAAGCAAACGAAAAGCACTGAACGTTTCTGTGTCGATGCCATATTTATTTCAATCTTTTATTAAGCTGTTTATTTACAATGATCTGAATTAAATTATTCTGATTTTAATAACAAGATGCAGTATCTGAAATGTAGTCAGTACTAATGTTAGCTCTTTTGTGTTGATATGCTTTTGTCGACTGTTAACATAAGTCCCAAACGGCAATGATTCTGCTTCCGTCGGCAGTAAAAAGAAGTGCAGATCCTCCGTGTACGTAGACCAAATTTATAGTTGGAAAAAAATATCGTCATATTGGCGTAATTTGTTCGAAATATGATGCATTTATTATTCTCAACTTATATTGTAACGTGATATTATAGTATTTCGCTTATGAAAGGCTTGGTTTTATTTAGTATTTTATAAAAATAAATGTTAAACATTATAAAACTACACAATTATTTTTCTTTTCATGAATACATTTTTGAAAGTCCTATGCCTATACTATAGTTTACCAGTATCTGATACACATGTTGGTCAAATAGCTTGAAATGTTCATATGTGCTGAAATAATGAATACTATTGATGGATTTTAACTTGGGCCTCATTACTTTTTTGTTGTTGTTTCTATAGTTTGTGATGTGTTGACATTTTTTATGAAAATGTGGAACTTTTAAAAATATTCATTCTTTTGACATTACATCAAAATCTAAATAAACTGTGATCAAATATTATGTTCAATTCTGAATACAATGATATTGTTTAATTGAAAAAGTGCACATCCAAATTTAAAAAAAAATAAAATGAAAAAAAAAAATAAGAAGGCCTAGATTTTTTTGCACTTATGTTTTAATCAAACTTTTCTGATTCCACACCACCAAATTGTCAATATACATTCCTTTCAAAGCATAAATCTACATGATCACTGTCCTATGCATTGGCATTCATATAATTTGGAGACGTTCTTTAAAAAAAATAAAAAAATATTTTTTGACAAAGGTCTTTCCTTTAAAATCTATTAACATGTCAAAATTTTTTGCCACATAAAAGTGAACCTGCTTAGCCTAGAAAATCTAAATCTTTACGCTGGTCTTTAAGAACTGTACGTTTAATTAAATAGCTAAATGATAATAAATGTAAAAAAAAAATATTTTCAGAGAATATATTCCAGAGGAAAGCTCTTACTCTTAGCTTCCTTGATCTATTATTCCTAACTACTTACCATGGCTCTTCCAGGATATTGCTTAATAATTTTACCAAAATGATATCTATCAGTCACCAATTACACAATCCCCCATACAGCTTCTACATTCTAACTCTGTATATACACTTCTAAGAGAAATTTCATGTCATGAACTCGTACAATGTCATAGGTCTACGCCTACATAATCCATCCATCCCTGTGGTGCTACAGCCCATGTAGGACTTTGGTCTGCCTCACCACATTCTTCCATTCAGACCTAACTGGTGCTTTTCTTTTCCATGCTAGTATACCCGGCTGCTGTAGATTCCCCTCCAAATCATCCATACATCTAAGCCTAGGTCTGCCTTAGAGGCGTTTTCCTTTGGGGTTTTGGTGGGTCAACCTCTTAACCCCTGTCATTTGGAATTCTTTCTAAGTGTCCAACCCAGAGTAGCCAGCCCTTTTTATTTCTGATACTAGTGTGGTATCCTGGTATCAACACAAAAGAGCTAACATCAGTACTGACTACATATTCAGATACTGTACCTTGTTATTAAAATCAGAATAATTTTCAATTCAGATCATTGTAAATAGACTATACAATTCCTGGTTGGTTTGTATTCTCCATCTATAGTCATCCTTTGTTGGTCCATATATTTTCCAAAGAACTTTTCTCTCCCAAGTGTTTAATAGGTTTTCTTCTGTAGTTGTTAGGGTCCAAGTTTCACTTGCAATGCATATGTTACAACTGGTCTGATTACAGTTTTCTGTATACTTTTATTTTCTTTTTCTTTTAATGTTTTAAATAAGTCTAAGTCTACACATATGAATAAATTTTCATTGGAGGACTGCTGGTAGTGGTCAATGAAAGATCCTGATTTTGCCTAGGTTACATACCTGAGTGTCCCCTCACAAACTTCCCACCACCACACCTCCCAGATGCTAATTTCCTCTTAGATCATAATTATCGTATTCCATCTTTGCACTACACACTTTCCACGTTTAGGCACATTCACTCAAGTCAAAGACACACTAAACATATCTCTGTGAAGGCTGTGATCCATCTACATTTGTACCCCTACCTTGTGATCATAGCCTCAGAGAATCCCTATTCATAACGTACTCACTCTCGACACAATGTGTGGAGCATGACAGTAACAGTCATCCTGTGAACCGTTATAACACTTCTTGGTTGTCTTCTTGTATTTGGTTAACTTATTTACGTTTAAACTGTAACTTTAAAACCAATTAAAAATTAATGCATGTTTTAATTCGGTAGTAAAAATCCATCATATGATTTTTAATAATACTACAATTATAATAAGTTATAAGTAAATTAGTAATAGATGGTAAACAATACTTTATTATCAGTAGTTTCCTTCTTTAAAAATGTTCATTTTTTGGTGAGAATGAGAAAGGAAATAAATATACATTGATTGCCAATTGCTTATTTTAATTACTAATCATACATTGTTTTTTTTGGCCACCAAAGGGGATATATACATTATAAAATGATTAATTAAAACAAATTTTTGTTGATATATTTAAGAAAAAAAAACAAAGTGATATTCATAATTATTATGTTTATACACTATATTCAGTCAAACTAAAAATGAAAATAAATACAAATTGCAGATACCACATCTGACAGAATGAATCAAAAGTGAGAGAGTAATTTAAAACAGTTTTTTTACTTTAAAGAAATACACTAATTAATGCCATTGCAAACAGTTCCTTTCAACTAAATGATAAATAATGTGCACAACCCTATGCAACCTAACCAATGCAATATGTTAACAAATTAAGGGCTCTTTACATTACAACTAATAGGCAAAAAGAAAAGTTAAAGTTTTTTCTTTTACTTTTTTGCTCTAGGAATTCATATTTAAAATGTGCAAACATTATGAGTAAGATTAAGACAAACATAAAAATCACTTAATTTAAATAGCTTTATATTATTCATATGTGAGCAAATTATATTCTGTCACATTTAGAATCTAATTATTGTTTCTATGGTGGTGCGCAATAATAAGAATAATATTGGTTTCAATTAAAAAAAAAAGAAACCATTTAACACTTAAATGATCAAGAGACACACTCTAAAATTTTTTTACAGCATCTTAGGCACTGGGCATACACTTTATCAAAAACATGATTGTTACTACTCTGTGAATAAAAAAAACCAAAATATTTATTTTTCATGGTTATGTAAGAGTTTACCTGCAGTTAAAAACAAATATTCAAAAATAATTAGTCAATAAATGTAATGCCTATTATTTTGTCAAAATTGGTTACATGTATGATGGCCAATCATGTATTACTTAAATTACTTAAAAATTGGTCAAAACACTTCCTAACTCCCTGTACATATCTTTGTGTAAAATCTCCTGATCCAAACAACATTTAACCCTCTCCCCTCTCTTAACACTGCATTTAAATATTTACAACTAAATAATTTTAAATGAGAAAGCTATGAGCAGCAGCATATTAAGCAATTTTTCAGATGATAAGGCAAAAGATTTCACATGTTACATTGTTCTACCACACAAAATTGTAACATTGATGAAATGAAATTGATTTTTTACCCTCCTCCTGGCCCCATACCACACCAAATAAAAATATTTAAACAAAACTATATTTTCCTCATACTTACAGGCTCAAAATAAGGATCCCTTATGACTAGTTCTTTTTGTGGATCCCATTCTCCTAACAAAGAAATCATGGCTGTGCTATTGGGTGGAGCAAGTTGCTTCAGATCTCTAAAGTATTATTAATAAAAAAATTTAGCAAAGAGTTAAAATTAAGATGAGAACAGGCAGAGATAAACTAATGTAGATATTTCTGTTACTTTAACATCGTAAGAGAATATAGATACACAACAGCACCTGTCCCATTAATTAGTTGGTAAAGAAAAGTCAACAGAAAAAGCAACAACTTTTCTACCATACTCCATACTTATGATCATTGGTTCTTTTATTAAAATGAGATGACTTACTCTACGTTTCCATGATCCATCCCAAATATAAACTCAAATTTTCTAAAATCTTCTTCTGTTATCTGAAAATTTAAATTTTACATTAACAACATGATGTTTCAAACTATAAAAGCTACACTTTAGATGCTTTATGATTATCACTCACTATGTTGTGGGTATGGGATAAAACTGTGTGTGAGTTTTTGGAATGATAATAAGTAATATGTATATGAGTTGAATAAAGCTTCATGAAAGAATAACGTACGGTACTTATTTATTGTTATTTTTCAGCAAGAAAAAACGTAAAAATGCATAATTTATTATGTATTTTATTAACAAATTGAAAATAAATTGTGGAACTAAAAATATCAAATACGGCACTTGCATTAAATCTTTTGTCCAGTGGGAATGGTTTATATGTGCTGAAATAAAGATATTTTTACCTGTCTTCCCAAATGCTTATAGTCACTGATACCATTCTTCTCAAGTACTCTCATGGTCCTTTCATTAGGTGGGCAATTGATGAACCAGCTCCCAATACCAGCACTGTCTATGATCCACTGGTAATAATGCAAAGAAAAATTGTTAAAGCTAAATTTGAAGAAAATAAATACTGTACATAACTTCTGCCTTAGAGACTTTCAGCAATATCAGCATAAAACACTAATGGAGTCCCAGATATTGAAATATTGATTTTTTTTACAGATTCTTAAATTAAATGCGACTATTTCTTTTTATTATTTGGGGCCTTGGAAGCAATTTTTACATAGCAACATGGTAACTAAGGACATCAGCTTAAAAGTACCTTTTAAAAGGAAAATGTAAGGAGGAAAGAATTAACAACATCCATTCCTAGAATAGGAAGAAAGTCACAATAAGTACAGATAGCCATCCACAAACCCAATAATAGGTTTGGCTGCAGGTTTTTTCTTTTTATAAATACACATTTAACAGTAAGAGGACATCAGTCAATTCAGTTTATGATTAACTAAATTATAATTTCCCAAAATCTATTTAAGATATTTGTTCTCTTTTACTTTTACATACAAATCCAGATGTATGTTTTCAACAGTCTTAGTTAAATAAATGTTATTTCAAAACTCTGAAGCATTGATGAAACAAAGAAATTCTTGGTGAAACATTTTTAGCTAGTAGGAGACCAGGAAATGAAACATTTTCATTTCCTAACATCAAATAATAAATACTTCATGATTTTATTCTACAAATTGAAACCCTATTTCTTGCACCTTATCTGAAATCCCTCTCTGTTTCACAAGATGTTGAAATATCCCCTCTGCCATTGTTGATCTACAAGTGTTACCTTAAATGATAAAATTTATTTTAAAAAACACAGGGGTAAAATGATTAAATGAGATCAAAGTGCCAATTTTTATGAAAAATTTAACCACACACTTTGAAATATTTGTAATGACTGTGTTAATTCTAAATTTACATACCATCAGATATATTTATTGTTATCACTATTTGAATATTCAAACTTGCAGAAGTAAAAAAAAAAAACAATTATGGATTCTTTACTTTGAAATAAATTAATAAGGTTAATAGATCCATAAAATCTTTTTAGATTAATATTGGACATAATTAAATGAAAGCATTGCATTTATTTGCATATCCAGGAAACTGTGAGTATAAGAACATGGGTAGCATATGTTGTTGTCTGCAATCATTCTTGCACTTGTGGATAAAACAAAGTCATTTATCATGATTTGGAAGACATCGTTATGCCATTAATAGGACATACTTTATACATAATTAAGACCATCTTCTGCCATCTCTATGGAGCGGGAATAACTCATCATCACGGAGGGTGGTATTTTTCCCAGCATAGTGAAACTGAAGTCTCAAGTAACAAAAGAATTGGTGGGGATCCGAAAGTAGTTGGTAGTGATCACAGGATGGTTTGAGTGGAATAAATATAAGAATCTTAGAGAGTACCGGTAGTGACCTTTTGTCATCAGAGAGTGGGAGGTCAAGGGGGATTCATACGACTGAGTTGTTACCGGTGAATGTTTGATGAGGTGTTAAGCTGTTGGTGGCCTTAAAGAATGTCACATTTTTTCTTTTAGTTGGTAGAAAGAGAGCGAAATAATTCACGGTTGAGTTAGTGGATAATAGTTCTTATGAGGTCATAAGATAAGTGATTATCAGAGGTCTTAGAGAGAATGCGATCTTCATGTAGGTAAATGGTGGCACTGTCATGGTCTCATTCACCTATTAAACCTTGTCTCTGCCCCATCCTTGTTACGACCAATTTCAGCTGAATTACTTTTCCTCTCTTCGTTCCCTTAATCTCTTACCTACCATTTTTTTAAAGGTAGAGCGATTCGAGAATTTTCTTTTGATAGAGGTCATGGATTAAGTTAAAAACATATTGTTATTATTAATGCAGTTGTTGTTGTAGGGCTTATTGAGCAAAAATGATTTTTAAACAAATTTTATGGGTACCAAGTGTTTTGCCTTCAATATGAAATTTTTAATCATATTCCCCACTGTGAAATTCTGGTTGATTGCACTCTTATCATTGTATTTGGTGGAAGGTGATTTTAGTGAAATTTACCGACTTTTCTAACAGCAAAGAGATATCATTCAAATTTGAACATAATTAATGAAGACGTTTCGACTTTTATCATTTTATGCCATGCCAAGACACTTAAAAATGGGTATTAAATAATGCCTGGTCTACCAGTTCTAAGCCATGGTCATAGCCTCCATAACATTAAGAAAAATTATCAAAATGAAGACACTAGATAATACTAGATACCTGAAACTAAAATTCTTGTTAACTTGTAGTTAGTTTGTTTAGTTTCAATTTTACTTACTTAAAATTAAAACTTAGATTTTGTTAGTCTGTTAGTGTTTTGAAGTAAATTATACTAAATTATCTAAATCATTTATATTTTTATACGCTGGAGGAGTAGTCCTGTCCTTTAGACTAAGAAGAGTGAGACTAAGACCTAAGCCTCTAAAGTCTAATAAATAACTTAACTAAGTTATAAGCAACTGTTAACTATTTTACTTATCAGTTAAGAAGTAAGTTACTTAAAGTTTAAGTTACTATAAATATAATAATATTAATAATAAAATTAAATAAAAGTTAATTAGTTAAAGTTAATAAAGTAGTCTCATAGTATGGTAGTTAAAAGTAGTAGTAGTAAGTAGTAGTAACTAGTTAACTAGTAATAGTAATAGTAATAGTAACAGTTACAGAAGTCGAAGTCATTTCAATTACCAAAGCAAACAAAAAGAACGGAATGCTTCTTCTTGTTAGAAGCCATGATCATCATTATGCAACCATTACTTCGCAATGTAATATATATGATTTATGTTACTATACTATTAATTTTTGATATATGAATCATGATTTAATTTAGAATGTTTTTATTTGTATTTGGAAAACGAAAGCGGATGTTTTGCTGTGCACAAGAGTAACTACTCTTATTATTTTGTTTTACCCATTAGCTGTTGGAGGCCTTAAAATTATTTCCCATTTTTAATTTAAAAAATGTAAATGAAAATGGATTTTTAAGCAGGTAGGGCCTATTTGGAGCGAAGTTGGCGTTCTGAAATAGTTTTTTTTTTTTTGTCAAGAGCTGGAGCTGTTAAAATTTCTTACTGCTTCAATATTTTGTAATAAATTAATTTTTAAAAAGTATAATAATTTACAGGCTATTTTAAACAAATTAATTAATTTAAATTGATGCCCTGTTCTTCCACAAGCCATGTTGCCCTCCTTCCCACTCTTGTACCAGCTAGGTTGCCGAACTCATATACCATTTACCACCCCCCCCCTCCTTTTAATCAGCTTCAACTATTTTTCCCCCACTCTTCTACCAGTTATTTTGCCCCCACCCCCTTTTTTTTCTACCAGCTATTTCGCCCTTCCCTTCTACAGCTATGTATGATGCCATACTCTTCTTTCTGTTAAATTGTTGATACATGCAATTCTAATGCCTAGTTAATAAGTTGTGCGAGTGAAAAAGACTTATTGACACCCCTCCCCATTCTTTAAATTTTACCGGAGCTCGGGGCTGAGCTGGAGCTAACCAAAAAAAAAAAAAAAAAAAAAAAAAAAAAAAACCCCCCCCCCCCCCCCCAAAATTTTTTTGAAAAAAAAAAACCCGTTTCAAATCCCTGATTGATAGCCATCGATCTAAATAAAATTATATCCTACACAAAATACTCCAACCACTGCTGAGTCTGAAACCCGCTGATTTTTCTCCCCGAAATTGTGGGTGGGTGGGTGTAAGTGTATAGGTTGGTTTGGGGTGGGGTTGAGAATTTTTAATTAGGCAAATAAACCCAATGAACAAGGTATTGAAGGGTCATTTTAATTTTATTATTTCAATATTTATATTCAAAAAAAAAAAAAAAAAAAAAAAAAAAAAAAAAAT